GAATTTCACCCTTTACCTGCCAACTTGTGTCACCTTTCCCAAATAATCCCCCAGTTTTCAAAAATCTTAATGAAATTTATAGCCAATAAAAAATTATGCCAAATTAGTCAAAATATGTAGGAAAATATCAAAAATCCAAATCTTCATTTTGTGTTTTGTGAAATTTGAATGATGGATTTGTGTTTTTTAAATTATACTGGTGAATCGTGAATTTAAAGTTGAATAGTGTAACAAATGTAACAATACCTGAAATTTTTATATTTGTTGGCATTGTTAATAATGAGAAAAAGAGGCGAGAGTTAATTGGACAGTTTGAGTTTGATATAAAACCATGGCAACAAGACCAGGGTGATTTAGAGGAATATGTCACTGAAATACCCTTCATCAAAATTGACCATCATCAATTCACATCATTAATTGTGAAAATACCATACAAATACTTCTGTGTTTGTCAATTTCTGTGCGATGTTTTTATACCATTCTAATGCTATAACCTTTGTTTGTCTTGTTTATACATTTGATTCCATGTATAAGGTAAGATCGTGCAGTTAACAGAAAATGATTTATTTGGTACATTAGGTAATAGCCTGATATGCAGGCCCTTGCCGGCCGAACGGCATTAGCCCTAACTAACACCTGATAGAATAGTGTATGTCTCGTTGGCAAGATCAATGCTGCGAATTCCCAAAGTTCACGCCTTCTCGCAATGAGTTCAATGAATATTCATTTTGGTGGTCATGGTAACACCATGGTAACATATCCAGAAAAAGTTCAGTTGAGTACTACTTCCAAAGTCAACAAATGACATTGATGCTGGAAGTCAGGAACACAATATTTAACTATTTAGTATTCACCAATCTAATTGCCTGAGCCCATTTATATTAAGTGGTCAACAGATGATCTGAACTTTGGTGTCTGGCTGCATAATCTATAATCATGCGAGAGTGGCAGTACTGGTAGCAGTCATGTTGCTATTGTCACACGCTCTTGATCTGACTTTTTGTTTTCGTGCATTCATTTTTGTTCCACCGTTTTCATCCCATTTGTCTTGAGATCTAAGTAACACTGAACTGTCACGATTTTGTAACACCTTTGCTTGCCATGTGTGTTTTATACAGCATGCCAGGGTTATCAAAGTAGAATGTGATGTTGTATAGTCGTAACAGGAACACAGAGTTGACCCAATCCAACCAGACAACCCAGCTTGCGTTACTTATCCATTGAGACATACTTGAGAGCTTTGAATCCATACCTCTTAGACATGTCTTTCTGGAACTCAGTTTTAAGTATCTTCAAACATCTGTGAATAAAAAAACAACAACAAGTTAATGTCAATAACATAGTGAGTTTGTATAATATGTGATGTATGTATGAAGATTAAACTTGAATGGTCCAGGCATGTATGAGATATTGCTCTGTGGATCTACTTTCATTTAAAACAAGATGTCCACCAAGGGATTTTTTTAAACAAAGGAACAGGGGCGCAGCGCCCTCATGCCATGAATTGCAATGCTCCCTCTTGCAGGCAATAATTTTTATTTGATGGTGACAAAAATGCTTGAATTTGTTTGATGTATATGTGAAATTTAACTTGATCACTTCAGGCATGTTAGATATATGTATCTGGAACAGGATTCTTTAAAACAAAATGGTTGTCAGTCAGCTAGTTTGAAACCAATCCGAAAAATAAAATGTGCATTGAGGTCTCATTATGTTCAACATATATAACAAGTCTGAACCAATTCTGTCCATGCATGACTGAGATCTGGTTCCAGAAGGGTGAAAGTTTGTGATTTGAATGCATTTTCGGCCATAAAATGGCTGCCAATCGGCCATCACGAATCAGTCTATAGAACAAAAGCATGTGCTTAAGTCCAATAATATGTCTGATGTAGTTGTGAAGTATGAACTTGATCAGTCCCAGCATGTGTGTGATATTGTTTGAACACCTGCACACACACAGACACACAGAAGTCAATCCATAAGTTTTACCCCAAAAACGAAAGCCATTTTGTGTTAGATCTAGTCTGCAATATTATGCCCCAAAACAAAAAACATTTTGTGAAAAACTTCATATCTTTACATGAAATGTACACATTGACTATTTTACTGTGTAACTGTGCTATCAATAGTTTATCTAAATATCAATGTGTCATATCTTGCTTTCCAGCAGGATTATTAAAAGCAGGATTGTAAT